AGACTCCCACACAAATACGACCACCACGGCCACTGGTCCTTTCTGAAAGTGGGGAACTTTCCAAATTATAAATGTTACAAATGAATGCAAATGTGTTCAACAAAACACACCTGTGGGCTACTTTCAGCCCCGGCCACCCGTTTGCCACCCCTGCCCTAGTGACCTGGGGGAGCAGGGAGGAGCCCCCAGCTGGGGCAGGGAGTACTCACAGCTGGTTAAACATGCGCTTCATCTCGTCTGTGATGTTCACAGAGCCGACCTCTTCATCTGAGAACCGGTTCACCTCCCCGTCCTGCTCGGAGATGTCATCGTCCGAAGTCACCTTCCGCTCTTTCTTTTTGGGGACCACCTGACCCGGAGAGGAAGAGACCGAGGTGACTGGGAGGTTCTGCAGGGAAGGAGGGTCGGGGTGGGCCGGGAAGGGAGCCAGCATCTCACGGGATAGATGGAGCGTGGCTGGGGCCAGCTGCTGCCAGGGAAGATGCACAGGTCCTCTAAGAAGCAGGCGGCGTCAGCAGGAAGCATGAGGTGGGGAGACATGCGGGATGGAGGACACAGACAGCCTGGACCCTGCCCTGCCCTGGTGGCTGGGCCAGCTCAGCTCACCCCTTCACCAGAAAAGCCACCGCCAGATTTGGGGAGAGGAGCGAGCCAGACTGGGGTACAGAATCACCTGGGATGTCTCAGCACCAGCCAGGGAGCCAGAGAAGCCCCCACGGAGGCCCAGATGGCTCCCTGCCTCCCAGAGCCCTCCTGCTCACATGCAAAGGCAAGAGGCGGCGGCCCCCGGTTCACCAAGCTCCCTCCACTCCCAGCAGACAAGACATGAGCAAACCAAACCAAGGCTGATATGGTGCCCCCTGCTCTCCAGCAGCAGGGCGGGGAGGAAGCCCAGAGGGGAACAGGGGGCCAGGGAAGCGCAGGTCTCACCCGGCTACCTCCAAAGGCACACACTGAAAGCAACAACACACTGCCCCGGGCTAGCAAAAGCCGAACCACAGCCCAGACTCAAGAAGCAGCCTTCGGAGAATGACGCGCGCCCTCAGGCAGCTGGACCAGCCAGCCCTGGGACAGCGGCTCTGAACCCATCGCCTCTTCTCGGGGACACACACTTGCTCACTGAGGGGGGAGCGGGGAGGGGGAGACCGAGCGCCTCTTCAGTGGGAAGGAAAACCACACAGAGGCCAACAGGCTCGTCCCTGGATTTCCGAGGCTCATCTGCCAGGGCTCGGCCAGCTCACCCAGCGCACCCACAGCCTGGCACCTCGAGGAAGAGGCAGGAAGCCGGACAGTGAACCCAATGTGGGCGGGTGGACGAAGCCCTGCAGGGTCAGGAGACCCGAGTTCTAGTCCCAGCTCTGCCATTTCCGTCCTTGAGCCCCATCCTGTCACCCCCGGGTGAAAGGTCTCAGCCACAGGATGAAGCCGTCAGCCTGGAGGGTGGAGTCGGGCCAGCCTGAGTCTAGAGTCCCTGAGTCTACGCTCTCCTGGGGAGGCCATGCTGCCTCGGGGGCCGGAGGGGAGGTGGTGGGGGGAAGTGGGGAGGATGTGAGGGGAGCAGGGCTGGCCAGGCAGGGGGTGAGGCTGGGGCTCTCCGGAGGGTGGCAGTGGCAGGTGGGAGTGGCGATGGTGAGCAGGGTGAGCCCTAGTCACCTGGAAGATCTTGGACACGTCTTCCGAGTTCCGCTGCTGTGCGACATCGCACAGCTTGGCCGTGATATCGATTCGGCGGCAGATGTCCATGTCCACCTTCATGGCCTTTTCTTGGATCTTTGTGTCCAGGTCTGTCATGGGCTGCAGGGAGGACAGCAGGGGTTACGTGAGCAAGGGAGGGAGCAGGCATGGCGTGGGGCGCTGCTCCCCGGCCCCTGCTGGACAGAGAGGGGTGGAGGGCCCTAGGTGCCGGGTGGGAGGCCCCGGAGTCCGAGGCTGGCCTCGATGGGCGTGAAGGGTTGGGCCAGCTGCTCAGGTTGGGGTGGGGATGGCGGGGCCGTGGGAGCTAAAGGCTCTGGCGCCGAGTGGACAATGTGAGACCGCGTTTGCGGGCTCCCTAAGGGCTGGACGACACCTCTCAGCAGACACAGTGTCACTGTTTATTCTGTTAGAGCAAAGACAACACAAAGGCAACCCCGCGCTGAAAGACTCCCTTCTTTCCCCACGGAGGTGCCTGCCAAGGCGGCTCTCCTTCAGGATTCCTCCCATGGCTGACAGCGGGGGTCCCCCAGGACAGGGGTCCCCCAGGACCCCAGTGAGGGGAGCCACATGGCCTCCCCCTGGCGCCCTGGGAGGCTTCTCCCAGCCACACCCGGCTTCACACCCCTCAGGGCCAGAGGCCACACCTGGACGGGTCACCCGAATCGGGCACCTTCTCCTGGTGGCTCTCCCTACACACTGCCCGCTGCCTGCAGGTGGCAGGAGACCCAGGTCCCCAGCAGGGAGGCGGCCTGGGCTGCCAAAAGCTGCCGGTACCCACGGCCACTCAGAAGGGCTCTGATTGGCCAAAGGAAGCACACACTCGCCTTCCCCGACCGACCATACAGAGCAGCCCCGCGGAAGGCCACTGGCCTGGGAGCCTCTTGGGGTGGCATGGCACAGGCCTCCCTCCACCTGTGCCCGGACACTGAGGCCCTCGGCCACCACCCGCCGCGTCCTGGGGAACTGGGGAAGAGTCAGAGCCAACGCACACAGACCGTCCGTCGGAGGAGCCTCGGGAGGCAGGATGGGTTAAGCGGCAGATTAATGCATCTCTACTCAGACCAAGGGAAGCGGAAGAGGGAGGGCAGGAGGGGGCGCCTGGTCTCTGATGCATCTGTCATCCTCGCAGTCAATCGCGCAGCCAGGACTCTAACTAGAAGCCGAGCTCTGGAGCCTCGGAGTGAATGAAGCGTTTTGCATGATGGGTGTGGGGGAGGTGATGACGCCTGGGGCGGCGGCCAGCGCACTTACATCACTCATGAGCCCCTTAAACACCACCAGCTCGGCCTTCAGCCTCTCGATCGTCTCGTTCATCTCCTCCTGGATGGCTTCGGCCTCCTGCGCCGCCTATGGGGACAGAGATGGGGAGGGTTGAGGGGGGCCGGGCACCCTGAGGGCAGGAGGGACCGGACACCTGGGCCCAGCCAGGCCAGGCGCCTGATGGCTGGGGATGGGGCGCCGAGGACCTCGGCCTGACTTCCCAGCGCTCAGCTTAAAACTCTTCTCAAAGGGATATTACGGCACGAGAGACCCATGGCAGACGGTAAGAGGAAAAGAGCAAGTAATGCAATAAGTGGTCCCCATAGGTTAACATATGAGGTCCATTCGTGTGACATCGCCAATATTTGACCGCTCTGGTCTCCAAAATGGCAAGTGTCAACCTAACCGAACAGACACACCTGGAGTGTGTGTTTGCACGGGAAAGACCGGAAGGTCGCACACCAATGTGCCATGGGGGAGGGGCGGAGCTGGAAGGCGACTTTATTTTCTTCTCTAAGCTCTTCTCAGCCTTCCAAATATTTGAGCATAAACATGTTATGTTTGGAAAGTAAAAAGCACTTTTGTTATCAAAGCGGGGGCCGTCCATCCTCTCCTGCCGATGTATTGATATTATTTTAATCTGTCTCTAACTTGTTTAGAAGATAATTTTTTTAAGTATCAGAAAGCAATTTTTAAAAATATTTGAAAGAGCTTTCCACGCCTTTCTCATGGGGTCACTATTCTTGTACCCATTTGGCTGAGAGGAAAAGAGAGGCGGGAAGGTGAGGTTGCTTAGGATACCCAGCAGGCGGATGAGTGCAGGGCCCAGAACACACAGCTACTGGGCCAGAATAACAAGGAAGGTCCTCACGCCCACCATGGGGAGCCCACTCAGGCGGGGCGCCCACCTCGTGACCTGCCCACTGCCCTCTCCAAGGCATCGGGCCCTAAGTCAGTTCCTGCAAACTGGGGGGTGGGGGTGGGGGCTTAAACACCATCCAGGTGGGGAGAAGAGGCAGGAGAGGGGAGTCACTAGCCCGAGGTCACCCCACAAGCTGGGGCGGCACCAGGACTTGGACCCAGGCTTCCCAACGCCTGTACCTGAGCTTTGCTGCAACACTGGGCGGTCCCCGCCTCGCTGCAAAGCCGGGGACAGAAGAGGCCCCTTGGCTCCATCAAGGAGAGACTGAGGCAGCAGGAAATCACAGAACGGGGGCTGTGCTGGGAACTGCCCCCGGCTTTGCCCCCTGAGGACTGTGCCCCTGAGAACTGTGCCTCTTCTGATCGGGAGGGACCTCTGGGGCTCTTACCTCCTTCAGCGTGTCCACCATGGTCTGCAGGTTCATGCTCTTGGCCAGCTCCTCCTCCCATCTGTAAGAGCCAAGAAGGACAGGCGGTCAGAGGGAGCCTCCCATGCCAGTCCAACCTCACACCATGCAGGCAGCCACCCTGGGCCTGTCCCCGGCACAGCAGTGACTCCACCCCTGCCTGCCCTCCAGGAACTCCCGTCTAGGGGGTGGGGGCGGGGCCGGGACAGGCAGGTTGACACAGGCCCTAATACCAGGTGGTGCGGACGAATGTCATGCTTCAGGCATGAGCACAGCACCCTGGGAGATGAAGGCAGGAGGGACCTCCAAGCCCCCTTCACGCAAACTGTGAAGTGCTGTGCAAACACTGCTGCTCCTGCCGTGGCTGCAACATACATATCGAGGCTGGCACGCAGGAGCCAGGCTGCTCTCTGCACCCGCAAGAAGCACTTTTATTGTGCGAACTGTCGCAATCTTAGTGTTTCTGGTCCCGTAGCCTACCCTCACCAATGGAGACATCACTGTACCATACAGACGAGGGCTGGAGGCTCGGACAAGTCAAGTGCCCGCCCAAAGACACACAGCTAGTGAGTGAGTAGGGCTGGACTTCAAACCCAAGTCTGTTTTATTACAGAAAAACAAAAAATAACAAACACAGCGCTCGCTTCTCTAGCGCTTATTTCATGCCAGGCCCTGTTCCAGGCTTTCCATGTACTGTCGGGTTCGTGCACATGCGGGTCGAAGCTGGACAGGAAATGACAGAGAGGAGAAGGCACAGCGGGCTAACGGCATACCCCAGCAATCACTGGAGGCTGGATGAGACGACAGCAGTGCACTCGCCGTAACAACACCAGCTCGCCTTAACGAGGGCTGACTTTGCATGAGGCACCCGTCTCCATGACATAATTCAATGACATAACAACCCTCTAGCACAGGCGCCTCCATGATCCCCACGTCACAGGTGCAGAGAGGCAGGCACAGAGTCAGGTGCCCAAGGTCAGGGTGCCCACAGGTGGAGCCAGGACTCAAACCCTGGGCTCCAGGCTCCAGATTGAGTGCTCGTAACCCTGCTGGGCTCCTCCGGGACCCAGGACCAATCAAAGCCCTAACCCGGCTCCCCACCCAGACCGCCTCCCTCCCCAGAGGAAGCCAGGGGCAGGCTCCCTTCCCTCTCCATCCTGGGACAGACAGACAGCTCCTCTCTTTCCTCGCGCCACTGCCGCCTCCCTACATGGCCTCTGAGCAGCAGATCTGGAAGCCTTTAGGATGCTGCCGGGGCAGCTAAAAATAGGCCAGGGGGAGGGACGGACGGAGAGCGGGTTACGTCACCAGCTTTTGGAAATAAGAGAAAACGGATACTGTTTGCACACACAGAGGAAAATTCCTCCTTTCTCCCACACGAGACGAGACGGGCCTGGCTAGGGCTCCCGGAGGGACGTACAGACACACACACAAACACGCACACACACGCTCTCCCCTGTTCCCTTTGATCTTTATCAGCCCCCGGCAAGGCCTAGATCTGCCGTGGGCCCCAGGCTCCAGGACCTAGAGGGCAGGGGTGCTGGGTGGGGGTTTCTCCCAGGGATGAAGGACACAGAGGAAGTCAAGGGGCAGAGAGGGAACCTAAGGGTCTAACCCAGGCGGGACATTCTCACTGAACACCCTCACTGTACAAATAGGGAAACTGAGGCCCACAATGTGCCAGGAATTTGCAAGGTCATCCAGTGTGTCAAGGGCCAGGCCAGGAGTTCACCCCTAGGCCCAATGTGGGGGGGGGGACAGAAGTCCTGGGTGGGGAGAAGTCCACAGGCAGCCCTCACCCTCCCCCCTCTCCTGCCCAGCACATGGGGCATCCAGGGCTTCCCTCAAGAGAAGCCAAGGCCCAGAGGGCAGGTCCCACGCTGAATCATCCCTCCTGGCCTCGCAGCTCTGAGTGGGGGCAGAGAACCTGATTCCAAAGCCACTGCGCAGAGCAGGTGCCAGCGCCTGGCCTCACTGCTGCGTCTTACAGCGACAGCAGGAGCAGCAGAGAAGGGGGCAGCGAGGGAGGAAGATGCAGGCACCCAGGGACATCTCCCCGCTACACACACACCCATTCCCCAAGCTCCTGGGCCGGATGCCCAGCCCCCTCTCACTTTTCCTTTCAGCAACCTTCTCATGAGGAAGGTGGGGCAGGAGTCAACAGACCCATTGTACAGATGGGAAAAAATGAGGCCCAGAGAAGGAGAACGACTGGCCCTAAGTCCACTGAGACCAAGAACCCAAGCCACGTTAGCAGCAGCAGAAGCAGCCATTGATTGATGGGCACGTCTGGGTACCACGCACGCACTGGGCTCAGTGCCTCATACACATATCTCATCAGCTTTCATGTGAACTATTAACCCTCTCGGGCAAAGGATTTCCCCCCAAACCCATTTTGCATATGAGAGAGCTGAGGTTCAGAGAGGTGAGGTCACTTGTCTAAGGTCACACAGCTTTCAGCAGGGCTGGGACTGAGGCCTAGGCACTGCTCACACTGTGACAAGCATGGGCATCACATGGATCTTGCTCGGATGCAGACCGGATTCAGCAGGGCTGGGGTGGGGCGAACATGCTGCATTTCTAATGAGCTCCCGTGCAGATGGCACGTGGAGTGGCCCCACTCCTCACTAGCGATTCTACGCTGCACCCTGGCAGATAAACTTGCTTGAGCCTTTTGTTTCCAAAGCCAGGCTGCGTGGGCAGCCGGCACTTCTGGTCCCAGAAGACCGAGCACAGACCCCAGCGTGCAGATAGCAGCTGGCCTGGCAGACCGGATCCACTGCCCACGCCGACGTGCCTCCGGCTGCGGCGGGAGAACCTGGCTGTGCCGGCCCCAGTGTTGACAGCGCAGAAAAGCTTTGCCCTTCAGCCGCTCTGGTGACTGGGGTGAAAGGATGACGACAGGGGATGTGCTTCTTAAGATGCCTCAGACACCCCACCTCACTGCGTGCAACCCGGGAGCAGGGAGCACCAGCTTCCCCGAGAACTGGTCTGCCAAGCTGTGGGCTATGGAATTTCAACACCTGCTTGCCAGGCACGGTCCGGTCCCCTCCCCAACCTGGATCAGCCCACAGGAGTAAGGTTTCGGCAGGACGGGGTTTCAGGCAGAGGGACCAGCATCAGCAAAGAGGGGCAGCAGGAAGGCCAGGGAGTAGCCAATAGCCACTGAGAAGAGGACACACCTACTACGGGTCAGGGGCTGGTGGATGTCATGTCCTTTAACCTTCACTGTCCCAATTCTCTTGCCTGACCCACCGCTCAGCAAAGGTGGTCACAGGAAAACACACACACACACACACACACACACACACACACACACACACCCCTCCCCATTATACAGGTGGGAAAATGAAGGCCGAGAGCACAGAGACAACTCACGCCAGGGCCAAGACGGCCTGAGTCACTGAGAGCCACCCTGCCCACCCTGGCCCGACAGCTCCTAAAACTTCCAAATTCTTCTCTCTCCAGGTGTTAGACTAGAGAAAGGAGAGGAGGGACATTTACTGGGCAGCTTCTGGGTTGTATTCACCATGTTAGGCATTCATAGACACATAAAATGCAACAT